CGCTAATCTTCAGTAGGAAGCTTATCACAGGGGAATGGGGGAAGGCAGGGGTCAATAAAGGAAGGGGGAGATAGTACAGGGAAGGAGAGACACTGGGACCATGGTGGAGGGGAGTGGGCACTCTAGTGGAGGGTGCAGTGCTGGAGTGTGTTGTGTACAAAACTCTATCGTTAACGATATTATAAATCAAGTTTCCTAAAATTAAAATAAAGAATTAGCAATAACATATATAAACCATCTAAAAAAAATAAAATCAAATTCCCAGCCTAGGAGTCAGAGTACAGCAGACGGCAGCCAACCCACTTTCAATCCCAGGCACTGCATACAGTCCTCTGATCACTCCAGAGTGATTCAGGACTTACTCTGAAGCACAGGGCTAGAAAAAGCTGCTGAGCATCGCTGAGTGTGATCCAACAACTGAAGCAACAGCAGCAACAAAAATATTAGCCTATTTATCAGTATGGAAAAGGCACTCAGGAGCAGAGGACAGACATTTTTCTGTTTAGAATTGACTACAAAATGACCTAAGAGATGAATTCTTAGAGAGTTAAAATTAATTCTTGAACTTTTGGAAAAACACTTCATAGAATAACTAGTATATATAGAGACAAGGGTTGGAGATGTGCCTCAGAAGTAGAGCACTTGCTGGGGCCAAAGCAGTAGTACAGTGGTAGTGCGTTTGCCTTGCACATGGCTGACCCAGGGTCGACCCCAGACATCCCATATGGTCTGCTGAGCACCACCAGGAGTAAACCCTGAGTACCATCAGAATAAATAAATGAAAATTTTAAAAATAAAAAAAAGAAGTACAGCTCTTGCTTTGCATTGTGTAAAAAATAAAATCAAATTCCCAGCCTAGGAGTCAGAGTTCAGCAGCAACAAAAATCTTAGCCTATTTATCAGTATGGAAAAGGCACTCAGGAGCAGAGGACAGACATTTTTCTGTTTAGAACTGACTGCAAAATGACTGGGTTTGATTCCCAGCACCGCAAAAAATAAATAAAATGCTAGTAAGAACAAAAGGCACAAAATGTAATCAACATACTTGCATGTTTTATAGTCTGCTATAGTCTTTCATTTCCTGAAAGCATGAAATGACATGAGCATGAAAATATACTGAGTGTCTACACGGATGCCATTTTGTGCTTTTGCCCTTAGTAAAATTAAAAATATCATTCCTAGTTATTGTCTTCTGAAGGTTTTTGTGTTTATTGATTTGGAGGCCGCCTCACTTGGTTTTGCTCATTGCTTTCTCCTGGCTCTGCACTCAGGAATCACTTCTGGCGGGGATCAAAGGATCATACAGGGCACCGAGGATCAAACTCAGGTTAGCCACATGCAAGGCAAGCATTCTGCCTCCTCTTCTATTGGTCTGACCGAACCCCGCAGACATTTATCAGGCTCCTCCTGGGGTACAGACAGTGTCAGGCCCTAGGAATCTAAGGGCCTAGAATCTTGGGGCCTGGATGAAAAGATTCACATTGGCAGCCCAGAGGGAAGAGGGAAGACGGGTTCTACTGTTAGGTTCATCCTCTTCCCAACTCTGTTCCAGCATTGGTGTGTCTCTCAGTGTCCTAGTCTGTGAAATGGGCAGTGAAAGTTCTTAGCCCATGCGCTGTTGATAGGAGTCAATAAGAGAATGGAGGGGCTGGAGAGATAGCACAGCGGGTAGGGCGTTTGCCTTGCACATAGCCGACCCGGGTTCGATTCCCAGCATTCCATATGGTCCCCTGAGCACCACCAGGAGTAACTCCTGAGTGCAGAGCCAGGAGTAACCCCTGTGCATCGCCGGGTGTGACCCCCCCCACCCCCAAAAAAGAGAGAATGGAGCAGTGAGTCCTCAATGATACCAGCATCATTTGTAAATCTTCATTCTTAATACTGTGCCATATGGCTTTGGTAGATTAAATAGTGTCAAGAAAACTCTTAGAGGGCCTGGAGAGATAAGATAGTGCAGGAGGAAGGGTTCTTCCCTGGCACAGGTATGATCCGGTAGACATTGCCAGCATTACTCCTGAGAACACAGCCAGAACTAGGGTCTGAGCACTCCCAGGTGTGACCTCAAAATATAAACACACACCTCACAGTTTTGAAAAAGAAAGCGAGATTAGGGCTAAAAGTGCTTTCCTCAGATGCAGCTGACTGTGGTTTGCTCCCTGGCACTGCATATAGTGCCCCAAGCACCACCAGGAGTGATCCCTGAGCACAGAGCTAGGAGAAAACCTGAGCACTCCCGGGTCTGGCTCAAAAACCAAAAAGGAAAAGAGGGAGGAAGAATTCCGAAGGACAAGGGGTCAAAGATCTATGGGAGAAGTGACTCCTTTGAGATGGGTCTTAAAGGATTAGTGGGACTTAATCAGTAAAAAAAGCTGTAGGGATAACAAAAAGCTGTAGTGATAGCACAGCGGGTAGGGCGATTGCCTTGCACATGACCAACCTCGGTTTGATTCCTCATCCCTCTCAGAGAGCCCAGCAAGCTACCGAGAGTATCCTGCCTGCACGGCAGAGCCTGGCAAGCTCCCCGTGCCGTAGTCGATATGCCAAACACAGTAACAACAAGTCTCACAATGGAGACGTTACTGGTGCCCGCTTGAGCAAATTGATGAACAACGGGAGGACAGTGCTACAGTGCTAATCAGGAAAACCGAAGTCGTGAGTGTCAGAGGAAAAAATAAGTTTGTGGTGCTGCAAAACTGGCCACTTTCATGCAGGCAGGAAGTCAACGGTATGAGCAAGACAGTTGTGCTTCCAGTGACCCCTCTGCGGTCTGGAGGCAAGAGAGAGGGGCAGGGTGGGGAGAGGAAAGACATGAGCTGGTGGGGAAGGGTCTTTTAGGGGGTCTGGTCTGAATGGACCTAAGTCCTTGCGCCTGCTTTATTTGTTCTTTCCTTTCTCTGAAATTGATTTTAGAGAACTTGTTTTAACCCAGTCACCCTTCCCTGCTGTGAAATGCTAAATTTCTTCTTTTTTTTTTTCTTTTTGGGTCACACCCAGGATGCACAGAGCTGGCTCTGCACTCAGGAATTACTCCTGGCGGTGCTCAGGGGACCCTATGGGATGCTGGGAATTGAACCGGGTCAGCCACGTGCAAGGCAGATGCCCAATCCACTGTGCTATTGCTCTTGCCCCTAAATTTCTTTTTTATACATCAGTATTACTGAGTTTGCCAAACTGAAATTGTATGACATTCTGTCCTGTTGTATTCTCTCTTAGAGCATCACATCACGTGCGCCCTCAGAGTGTGCAGTCCCTGGCCTAGGTCAGGGGCCCCTAAGGACAGCTTCTAATATCCGGGCCCCTCAAGACCTTCTCGGCCTGGGACCACTCAGTGTTGCTGCTCATTCTTGTTTACACGAGAGCAAATCCCTGGGCTGGAATGGTGGGAAGCACTCTCCATCCCACCCCCACCATCTCTTTTCCCTGCTTCCATGGTTCCTCTGGGCGGGGACAGACAGCAAGCTGGCGGGAATGGCTGGTAACCAGGGCATCTGCTGTGGTGCCCGAGGGTTTGCTGAATCAGCTCATGCTGTCTGACATCTCCCCATGCTGAGCCCTCTGCGTCAAGGTCATGAGCTTCCCTGGAACTCCGCCCCATTAGCCTCGGGTCCCTGGCACTGTGAGCATCCTGCTCTTCTCTCCCACCCCCAGTCCTGCTTTTGGCTCGTTCTTTCTGAAAACACTTGATCTGCTTTGTGAGCTGATGACTGTCCCAGAGCATGCCTCACTCAGGCTGTATATGTTGGTGGGCAAGAGCCAGGCTTGGCTGAGTCTAATCCGGCTGGATCCCAGACTCTGCTTTACTTGTTACTGGTCACGAGTGCTTGACAGCAGGGTGCTTTGCACGCTGGTTTCCTGCCTGTCAGAGGGCGGTACCCTATACCAAGGCAGCGTTCGTACGGATGTCAGGCCTGCCAGGCTTACTGCCTTAAGGAATCTTTCCTTTAAGCCAGAGCCAGTGCAGGGGCTAAGGCACTTGCCTTGCATTCAGCCAATCTAGGTCCATCCCTGGCTTGTAGTCCCTTGATCCCCACCAGGTGCGATCCCTGAGTGCAGAGCCAGAGGTAAGCCCTAAGCACTACTTGGTCTGACCCAATCCTGCAAGCTTCAAAATAGCAAAAGAATAAACTTTAGAAATGATTGTGTGCCTAAATGGAGTGGATACTGGGAATGCATTTTTGAACAAAACAGATTCGTTCTGTGCCCTGACGGTACTTAGGGCGCAGTGGGGAGACACAGTCAATCACAGTGTCACCCAAACTTTGATCTGAGAAATTGTGTGCCCTGCTGATCTCTGTATCAAGCTCTGAGACAGCAGTGGGACATTTGTCCTACTCGGTGATGTCAGGGAGATCTACCATGAAGAAGTTGTGGTGAATTAGGGACTTGATAGATGAATAGGCATTAACCAATGTGGAGGAAAAACTCCAGAAGGAGAAGGCAGCACCAGTGAAGACAGGGTGGGGGGTGGGGAGAGTGAGGGCAGGAGGAACCATACCACAGGACCTTTGAGGTGGCCCTGAGCACAGCGTGATTCAGGAGCAGGGAGTGGGTGTTTAGGCACCCCGCCCCTCTTCTGCCATTACTTATGCTTCTTCCTGCCAAGAACAGTGAGGAAACAGGTCAGTGCCAGTGGGTGGGCAGAAGGAGAGCTTGATTGTACTGGCTTGACAATTTGCAAAGCCAATTTCTGTCTGCAAGCTGCTGAAGTCAAGTGCAATGGGCCAGGACTTAGCAAAAAGGTTTTCCAGGAGAACAAGGCTGCAGGGGTGTGGAGGCTTCTGTAGCCTTCTCAAGCCTGAGGTGGAGATTAGCAGCAGGAAAGGAGGCTTTGGCTTTTTGTTTCAAGGATCTTGGCTACACAGCATCTTGACATCCCACCCTCACATGCCCCAGGATATGGTTTTTCTGGCCAAAGCATCACCCATCCCTGGAGGCACATTTCCCCTTCAAATTAGGATGAATGAAAATGACATTTCTCTCTTTCTCTCTCTTCCCTGCAGGCTTATCTTTGGCACTCTCTACCCTGCATACTATTCCTACAAGGCTGTGAAATCAAAGGACATCAAGGAATATGTAAGTAGCACTCTGGGGGTGGGGCAGTGGAGAAGAGAGAGCAGCTCTTCGAGCCTTTGCTCAGGGTGCTTGGCTGGTGTGGGCCTGGGGCTTCCTCTCCAGAGAGTTTCTCTGTGAAGCTCAAATGAGGGAGCCAGGCAGGCACGGTGGTATGGCCTGCAGGAAAAGCCATCGAAAACAAGGGGCCCAGGGCTGGGGATGAGGCTTAGCAGTCAGAACACATGCCTTGCGTGTCAGGCCTTGGGTCTTCAATTTAATCTCTGCATTTTTTTTTCAGGCTTCTGTTTTCTTTATTAAAACATAAAAATCACCAACTTGGGGCTGAAGCAATAGCACAGCGGGTAGGACGTTTGCCTTGCCCGCAGCCAACCTAGGTTCGATTCTCAGCATCCCATATGGTCCCCCGAGCTCCGCCAGGAGTAATTCCTGAGTACATGAGCCCAGGAGTAACTCCTGTGCATCACTGGGTGTGACCCAAAAAGAAAAAAAAATAAAAAAATCACCAACTCATGTAAAAGAATTCAACTTATAAAGAGAATCAGAAAGCCAAATATTAAAAAAAAATTACACAATAAAATGTGTTGTATAGTCTTTTCTGTAGTTTAACTTTTAAGACTAGCACAGTTTGAAACAACCAGATTTTAAGTTGTTGCAAAATCCAAGTACTTGCACATATCCTTAATGATCCTTTTTTAACTAAAGATGAAACTCTGATCTTTTATTTCTATTAATATGTGAAATTTTGTTTCATTACCAGAAGCACTGTGTTCGAGAACTAGATTTAAGTCCATTTTTTTATTTTAAAAACAATTTTAGTATTTGATTATTTTCATTGCTGAAAAAAATGTGAAGACACAAAAATACAAAGAAAATTAAAATTTATCCAGCATATCTCCTCAAATGTAACAGGATTATATTTATTCCTTCCTAGTCTTGTGTACATGTAGGTAGGTTTTTAAAATAAAATTAAGTTTTATAAAAATGCTTACATATTCCTTTTTAGTTCATGTTACAGATCAACCAATTTTCTTTTAGGACATTTATGTGAAAACATGAATTTTAGTCATCTGCTTCAAACTCTAATTAGAATTAAGCCAAAATTTATCTCTTTTTTTTGATATTCAATTTAATTTTAGCATTCTCAGATCCACAAACATTAATGAATTAAAATTCGAGGTTGGGGCTGAAGTGATAGCCCAGTGGGTAGGGCATTTGCCTTGCACGTGGCTGACCAGGTTTGATTTCCAGCATCCCATATGGTCCCTTGAGCACTGCCAGGAGTAATTTCTGAGTTCAAAGCCAGGAGTAACCCCTGAGCATCCCTGGGTGTGACCCAAAAAGAAAAAAAAATCAAAGTCCCCGGCTTTCCCTAGTGATGGCAGCATTCTGGGCCTCGGCTTCCTCATCTGGAGATCACTGTGGAGTCAGAGCACGTATCTGGCATCGGGGAAGGCTGCAAGGGTCTTTGAGCCCCAGCTCAGGTCTCCCCGCTGTGGGAGTCAGTGATCCAGGTGCTTAAGTGGCCTTTTGGACGGTGAGGCCATGGGAGTGAGCCTGTGGGATGGGAACCCTGAGCTCTGAAGGAGGATGGAGTGCTGCTGATCTCTGCTCATCAGGAGACCTCCCCAACCTGCTGACAGGGACCTCTGTGAGGATAGCAGGCCCCTCCCATGGACTATAGAGACCCAGTCACAGTGCAAGGGACAGGGACTCTGCCCCTGGCTCTGGTGTTTGCTCCATGCCTAGGGCCTTCAAGATCTCCTCAGAGCAGTGAGGGGGAGGTCACCTCTGGGCTCATGTGGGCACAAACTGCTTTTCTGCTGTCCCTTAGAAGATGTCACCTGGCACAGCTGACAGGTGAAGGACCATTCAAAGTGGGACTTCTTTCTCTACTTCCCCAGGATGTCTCTGTGATGAATCTGTCCCCCAGCCCCCAGCCCTTGGGTCAACTGAACCCACCCCTGCTCTCCCTGTTTCCCAGAGCTGTGTCTTGGTTGGTGTGTGCCAGGAAGCAGCAGGGATGCTTTCTCCTCTGGGGCTCAGGGCCCTGGTCTGTGTGAGGCAATCTCGGAGTGTATGTGTCTATGTTTCATTTTATCATTATCATTATTTCTAGTTTAATTTTGTACCTTGATATACAAGCTTGTTGACATTAGAGTTTTAGGCATGCAGTGGTCCAGCTTTAATTCCACCACTAGTATCTGCATCCCTCCAGGAATGTCCCCAGATTCTTGCCCAATCTCCAACCTGTGTCCTTGACAGATACATTTTTTTTTACAGTTTTTTTTTTTTAACTGAGGCACCTTACCTTACAATACTGTTTTTGTTTGGCTTTTGGTTTTTGAGCCACACCCAGCAGTGCCCAGGGGTTACTCCTGGCTCTGCACTCAAGAATCACTCCTGGAGGGCTCCGGGAACCATATGATTCTGAGGATAGAACCCAGATCAGTTGTGACTAAGACTAGTACCCTACCTGCTGTACTATCTCTCTGGCCCTGTGCAATACTGTTAATTATACTTTCATGAATACATTGTTCCAACATGGCACCCATCACCAGAGTGCCAATTTCCCTCCACCAGTGTCCTGAGAGTCCCTCCCAACCACGCCTCCCTCCCAGGTGTGTTCCAGAGACATCCTGTTATTTGTCGATTGCCTCGAGCAGGCCCCAGTAACGTCTCCTTTGTCCTAGCCCTGAGATTTTTAAAAAAGTGCCATATTCAAGGCTCTTTCAGAGTTAAGAGAATGAGACCCATCATTGTTACTGGTATTTGGCATATTTGGTACGCCACGGGGAGTTTGCCAGACTCTGCCGTGTGGGCAGGTTACATTCAGTAGTCTGCCAGTTTGTCCAAAGTAGGAATGAGATAATAAGATGTTGCGTGGCCGCAAATGTGGCCGCGCGCTTCTGGGAGCTGGGTTTTATAGTCTCTGAGTCTTGGCCGTTGATGGGATTACACGCGCCAGGGGGCCAGTTGGTGAGTGTGATCCCCGCCTACTGGAATTTGGAGGATCTGGGTGGAGGATGCTCAGCCCCAATCCGAGTAGGCTTGGAGATCTCAGTCCTGGGACCCGCATGCCTTTGTTCCTCTTCTGGTACCTTCATATGTGCAGAGAGTGGTCTCAGCATGGTGGTGGCTGGTTCTGGAGGTCTTCGGCTGGCAGAGCCCTGTCGGGGCAGGGAGGGAAACTCAACCCGCTCCCCTCCAAGGGATCCAGGCGAGGACAACCAGGCGCAGTGGCAGGAGTCTCTGTGCTATTCTCTTCCGGGAGCTGGGTTTTATAGGTGTGTTCTAGAGACATAGTTTTAAGTCTAATTATTATAGTTAGGATCCCATGTTTATAGTAGTGGTTTAGATATATAAATGTGTACACACATATACATATGTGTGTGTATGTGGTCAAGTGGTTTAGGTCTATAAAACACCGGCACCTCAACTGAGCCAAGGCCCCTGACCCTTGCCCATTGTATTACCTCCAGACCCCATCTTTTTGACCTCCCCCTCCATTTCTCAGTTTTCCTGGCATTTCTGTTTCTGTAATCTAGGGCCAAGGGTTTGTCCACCTTTGATGCCTTCCATTCTCTTAACAAATTATCTTACAAAACCCAGATTGGTGAGAACATTTGGTGTTGTCCTTGTCCTTCTGACTTCCTTCATGTACATGAGATTCTTCAGTTCAAATTGCAGGGAATTGCATGGTTTCATCCTTCTTTCTGGCTTCACAGTATTCCACTGTGCATATATGTCATAGCCGATGAACTGTTCATCCTCCTGGATTGCCTCTGTATCCTGGCTGTACTAAGTACAGATCTTTTCAAACGAATGTTGTTGTGTCTCAGGCCAGTATGTAAATGAAAAAGTGTTCATGGTCACTATGATCAGGGAAATCCAAATTAAGGTGTCAGTGAGGTTTATTACCTCACACCAGTGAAAAGGGCAGGAGCCCTTTTCTGAAAGGAGAGCATGCATAGAACGGCAGAGAGACACACTCGCACAAAAGGACAGGAGCCCCTATTGGCAGAGATATGGTGAAGAAGGAACTTGCATGCACTGCTGAGGGAGCATCTGGTCCAGCCCCTGTGGAAAATAGCATAGAAATTCCTCAAGAAAGTAACATCTCCAGCACGCTCTGGGAGACTATAAATAGCAGTTAAGTGGCAGCAGCTCCTGAGGTGCCACTGATGTGAACTAGAGCACAAACACTGAGCAGCCTCTTCGAGGAGCAGCCTTGGGTAGACAGGGGCGATGCCAGGTGAAGCGGCCTGAGCAGGGTCCCCAACATTCAAGGTCTGAGTTTCTCTTTTGCAGGGGCAAAAAGATCTCTGCCAGCTCCCCTGGGCGGGCTGAGAGCCTGCATGTGGCTGTGCTCTGAGTAGAGTCACAGGGGTCTGGTTGAGGACTAGACAGGCAGTTCATTAGTTGCGGGTGAACGCTAGCTCCGACAAGTAGAGCAGCTGTTTGTTTGGGCTGGCAAGCGTATGTGCCTCCCAGGAGGAAAGTCGGAGGGTTAAGATTAGATGGTTTCTTGGTAAAAATGGAAACAGAAGGAAGGAGCTGCGCAGTGTGCGGGTGTGTCTCTCTGCCATTCTGTGCATGCTCTCCTGCATAGTTGCCCTGTTGACAATAGACCCTTTTGTCCAGGAGAGAAACCTGGAGTCTCTCTTTCCATGCCTCTCACTCGCCACAGCTGGTTGGCGATTGTGCCTCTTCGTCTGTCTCCTGATTATCTTTCACACCACTTGCCCACCTCTTTGCTGCTGCTGCCTTTCCTGCATGGTCCAGTAGCCTCAAGGGTCCATGGATTTGGGTCTGTTGTTGCCATTGTAACAAGTCACCATAAACGTAGTGCTTCAGATAATGCTGATTTTTCTCAGCCCTGCATGTCAGAAGGCTGGCAGGTCTCACTGGACAAGTGCCAGGCAGGGCCATGTTCCTTTTGGAGACTCTCCCAGATGGCTTCTGTGCCTTTTCCAGGTCCTGGAAGCTGCTTGCAGTCCTTC